AACAATAAATATTTATTTTCAGACCTCAGAATGTCTACTCGTTTGCGTGCTCATAAGTTTACACATTTTTCAATAAACTTGAGCTCGATGCACCTAGAGCAAATAAGAAGTCAAAACAAACCATTTCTGTGCCTTCAACAATTAGGCAACTTGTTTTTCAAGGCGCGGTTAGTGAAGAAGCGCGCGCGAACTCATGCGTTCGCTCGCTGTATGGAGCGAGGGAAGATGGCAGGGTCACAGCGCTCCCCTCAAAGGAGTAGCGAGACGCATGTACTATACTCATTGCGAAGGCCGCAAGAAGCGAGCACCTAGGTGCAGTCTAGCTGGCCGGGCCTGGACCCAGAAGGGCCCACGTGACCCCCCCCCCCCCAATGTTACTGCGTGACGTGGTACGGATGGATGGATGCATATGGCTGTACCCGTTAGATCGGGCGGTCGCTAGCGCCACCAAGCCATAATACTTAATGAACGCAAAACTATATTTATTTATTTTTCTTTAAAAAGTGAGTTTGAGGATTCGTACTTTGCAGTGAAGAGTTTAATTTTTCCTCGTGCGTTGGCTTTAGCCACCAATCAGATAACCTCCTTCTAGTTAAGTCTACCCGCTTAAAGTCTATTTTGCCCTGCCGGTTCCTAAACCCCAGTGCTTTGAAAAACTCTGCGCCATCATCCTGAACTATAGGGTGAAGCCCTTTACAGAACATTATCGTGTGTTCGGCAGTTTCTTCTTCCTCTCCACACGCACTGCATAAAGTGTCTACCCCTTCGTATTTGGCCCGATATGTCTTGGTTCGCAGTAATCCCGTCCTGGTCTCAAACAGTAGAGAACTACCCCGAGTATTATCATAGATCCTTTCCTTGGCAATTTCCTGCTTAAAAGTTCGATAGATATCTAGTGCGGACTTCTTAATCATGCCCATTCTCCACATGTCAGTCTCCGTTTCCTTCACTTTCTTCTTAACCAATAGTTCTTTTTGGTTTGGCCACCTGCTGTTTTCTAAGTATTTACCAGTCAAGTTCCTGGTTCGCTTCCTCCATTTTGTATCGACATTCTTCATGTACAAGTAGCTGAATATCTTCCTAGCCCAGCGCTCCTCCCCAATTTTTCTCAATCGCTTCTCAAATTTTATCTTGCTGCTAGCTTCCCTGCCCTAAAATGATGTCCATCCCATATCACCTTGTACTCCCTGATTTGGTGTACTTACGTGAGCTCCTAAAGCAAGCCTACGTATTCTACGTTGCTTAATTTCTAATCTTGCTTCAACTTCTGCTCTCATGCACAAGACCGCATTGCCGAAGGTCAGCCCAGGAACCATGACCCCTTTCCATATTCCTCTCACAACATCATACCTATTGTAATTCCACAGTTCCCTATTTTCATCACTGCTGCATTCCTGTTACCTTTAGTCGTCACGTATATTTCGTGTTCCCTCAGGTACTCGGTCCCATTGCTTATCCATACGCCCAGATATTTGTATTTATCTGTTATCTCTAGCGTGACCTCCTTTATTCTAAGCTCACTACCTTCGTTGTCATTGAAAATCATGACTGCTGATTTTTTCTTACTGAATCTAAGATCGAACCTATCTCCCTCATTACCGCAGATGTCCATCAATCTCTGCAAATCTTCCTTGTTGTGGCCCATTAGCACTATATCATCTGCGTACATTAATACTGGTAGTGCCTGATCAATATGTTTTCCTTGTTTCACTAAAGAGAGGTTGAAGCCCAGCCCACTTCCCTCTAATTTGGCCTCTAATCCTTGCAGGTACATCATGAATAATAAGGGTGACAGGGGACACCCCTGCCTAAGCTCCCGTTTTACCTCTGCAGGCTTGGATACCTGTTTTTCCCACTTTATAACTACCTTGTTACCTTTATGGATACCCTTTAAAAGATTAGTGACTACATATTCCACGCATAGTGTGTCCAGTATTCCCCACAATTACTCTTGAACCACGCTATCGTACGCTCCCTCGAAATCCGGAAATGCTAGCCCCAGGGGCCTGTGTTCTTTTTCTGCTATTTCGATGCACTGCGTCAGTGAGAACAGATAATCTTCCAACCTCCCGTGTTTCCGAAACCCATTCTGCAGTTCCCCCAGCACCCCCTCATCCTCTATCTATGCCTGCAGTCTTTCCTTTATAATCAGCATCGCCAGCCTGTAGACCACTGATGTCACTGTTATAGGACGGTAGTTGTTTATGCCAGCTTTGTCCCCCTTTCCTTTATAGGTCATGCTCATCCTGCTAAGTTTCCATCCATCGGGAACTTCACCATCGATCATTATTTTGCTCAGTGCCTCTCTCAAAGCCTGCTTAGACTTCGAACCTAATGTCTTTATGAGCATAATTGGAATGCCATCTGGGCCTGTTGATGTACTACTAGGAACCCTTTTCTCAGCCCTTTCCCACTCTCGTTGTGAAAATGGAGCCATTGCACCACTTGACTCGTCCTTGTCTATTGTGGTGCATGAAGTACTTCTTTGTTGAAACTTTTCTGTCACCCTTGTTCTTATATAATCAATAGCTTCGTCCCCTTCTAGCCTAGCACCTTGGGCTGTAGTTATAAAACTCTGCTCTAGGCTCGTCTCATTTCTTAGGGAGTTTAGATGGTTCCAAAATTTCGCAGCTGCCTTTCTATCTTTTTATGTGCTTCTGCCAGCCACTGAGCTCCCTTTCTTCTAATCTTTTCATTGATCAGAAGGGATGCATCCCTTCTACAGCTTAAAAAGGTTTCCCATTTTCTTTCAACGTCATCTGTCGGTTCACCCTGCTGCTTAGCATGTCTGTGTTTCCTAGAGGCTTCCTGACGTTTTGCTATGGCTCTCTTAACTTCCTCATCCCACCAACTTTTGGGTTTGTGTCTTCTTCTCCGGGGTGACTTGTCACGCGTCTTAGCAAGCTCTAGCTCAAAGAGTCTAGTTAGATTCGTGTATGTCCACACTGTCTTAATATCCTCCGTGATTACTTTCTCAATTTGTGTAGTGGCTATTTCAATTTGCCTTTCTGGATAAAAATTTTCCTGTTGTTGCTAATCTTGTCTCCTTCCCACTTTCACTGCTCTTCCAAAACTTAGCTTGATACGTTTGTGATCACTACCCAGACTTCTGGAGCCACCTTAATCTATGTGCATTCCGCTGAGCTTATCATACATCCTATGTGACATCAGCGCATAATCTATTGTCGACTGCAGCCTTCCTACCTCCCATGTTATTTGCCCTTCACACTTCTCGGTACTGTTGCAAATGATCAAATCAAGCCTCTCACACATATCCATGATCATTTTTCCTGTCGGGTCGGTATACCCATCTATATCTTCTATGTGCGGATTCATGTCTCCTAGTATAATTATCTCGCACTCTCTTCCTAACTCCTGAATGTCCTTTGGTATACACTCTACCATTGCCTGGTTTTCCTTTCTGGCCTTTTGCTCCCGTCCACAAGTACACGAAACCAAGGAGTGTCATTTGACCTGCCACTTTCCCTTTTAGCCATAAATGTTCCTTGCACTCCTGCTTGGCCCTTTGCCAGTCTGTGCTTTTATGAATGAGTGCCCCAATACCACCCCCCTTTCTGCTGCCTTCTGTTCTATTACAATATTCCCACGTGTAGTCCGGATTGTTCGGAGGTTGTTCCATGTCCCTGAGATGTGTTTCTACAAAACCGTATACCATCGGCCTCTCTTCCCTTAGCTGTTCTTCTATCTCTTCTCACTTCAGCCGGTACGACGTGGTATGAGCAGCGCCATCGGGCGGTACGTAGTATGTGCACGCGCAAGTTTTCGTTACATATCGTCGTCCGCGCATGGCTTCTTCGACCGTCTGCTTCGTCAGCTGCGCGCCGTACGTGGGGCCGCTGTCGCGACAGCGGGGCACAACGGTGGCATGTCATCATTTTATGGAAAAAGTTATCCATCGACAATCCGAAGTCGGTCAGGAATTGCATGTTGCACGTGTATGCGTCCGGAATGAAGTGCAGCGAACAGAGTAAACGCCGCTTGGTTGACGTCCAGTCTCCGCGGTGCATTAAGTCAACCCACGTTTGTCTCAGCGTTGGATCGGACTGGAATCGGTGGAACTTGCACCTATTGCCCCCGTTTCACTGGCGCAAGAAAATTCACTGGGCAAAATATTGGTGCAATGATAACAAATTCGAAATCAAACTATTAATTTGCCCTCTGATAAGCGTAAATCACGAAGAATTGGACATGGCCGGGCACGTGGTGCGTAGGCAGGATAACTGCTGAGTATTAAGGGTAACTAGCTGAACTTCGGGTGAGGGGGACAGAACGTTAGGTGGGCAGATGAGATTAGGATGTTTTCGGGTATAAAGTGGCTGCAGCAAGCAGAGAACCAAGTTGACTGGCGGAAGATGGGAGATGGCTTTGTCCTGCAGTGGGCGTAGTCAGGCTGATGATGAAGCGTATATCTTGTATATCATTGCAGACTTCACTAGCTCGCTTCACAGACAAGCTGGATGTTAGTGACCGCACGGTGCGAACAGACGATCGAGAGGGCGACGCGCAAACTGCCAATTTTTTCGTGTTTTGGTGCTTGACGTCATCACAGCTTGCCAGACTGTTGCATGAAGTCACCAGGATTAGTACCGTTGCCACTGTGACAAGACGTCAAGTTAGTGTCGATGTCGGTAGGTGTGCCGTGATAAATTTGGCTTTAATACTAAAATAAAATATTTTATCAGCATTCACTGAGCGTCACACTTGCTCACAGGAGTAAACTCGCATCCGAAAAAAAGGGTCGGTACCCATTTAACAGAGAAAGATACAGCGGGCTCAAGCGGGTCGTAAGCATCTTTCGAAGCTAGTTGTAATCATGTTTCGATGTCGTGGATGGTTTCTCGCGTAAAACTGAGTCGACGATGGGAAGTGGCCATCCCGGGTTTTGAATTTACTTTCGATGCACCTTTGGCAGAGCCTTCCGTTTGGGGCACACTTCTCTTTAAGGGTCCTAATGTTTTTTATTTATCTTTTTTGTGCAGCTAAGAATTATTACGCAAACGTGGGCGTGCGCTACATCTTCGAGAGCGTGCTGAATGAGCTGGAGAATGACCCAAGCCGGCGATTCATCTTCGTCGAGACAGGCTTCTTCAACCTCTGGTGGAAGACGCTCAGCGAAAACAGGAAAAAGCGCTTCAACGCGCTCGTCCAGTCTGGTAACGTTCGTATTCTACCTCGTTACTCAAATTTGACTGGGAAATGCAGGTTAATTACTTATAGGGGCTGGCCAGTTGTTGTTTTTTCATAGAGCAGTAAGTTCACGCTATGAGCAACAACAACCTATATTTTTATTTGGAGATAGTAAGGTTATAAAAAGAATGCTTGACAAAGGGACCCGTGGCTATTGACAGATTTCGGGCTTTAACTATAGGCATCGCCGGCATGAAACGGCACTGCTGAAAACACTTGATGAACAAACGCGACTAAAATATGGTCTTGAGTTTTGTGAATATGTTCCGCGTTATGAAGCCTGCATCACGCAGGTCGCTTGGAGTTCATCAGCGGTGGCTGGGTGATGAACGACGAAGCATGCGTCCACTACACCAACGTGATCGATCAAATGACATATGGTATGCGCAAGCTCAACGACACCTTCGGCAAATGCGGTGTACCGAGGATAGGATGGCAAATTGATCCTTTCGGCCACTCCAGAGAATTCGCATCCCTTCTGGCGCAGGTAAGAAAGACACAATGCTGTGTGTGTATAAAAAAAAAGACAGCCTGATAAAAAAAAGTGGGGAGTTTTTTCCACGCTGTAAACATTTATGATGCAATTATGTACGAAATCGACAAAATTCACGCTGACTTTACGCAGTCAGCCGTGAAACTTAATAGGTGTATGGGTCATTTTACAGATTGTGGGCATGAGTTTGTTTCTATCCACTGTTATTACAGGTCCACTTTTAACGTTGCAGCACAGCTACATTTCAATTATTTGATTTGTTTCTATTTTCGTGGTACAAGGCATCACCCCTGGGTTACGAGAAAAGAAGTTATGAACCTTGTCATGGGGCCCTGTTCGTCTTGGGTGCTACAGCAGCAGTGTTATTATGAGCGCATGTTACCAATATATATAAACATCTTATGAATTTTGAGAAATGATAGCTTCGTTACACAAACGTCTTCAATTATACAGTCAATATACGTGTCCGCATACAATCCGATTTTCTCCTTTGGGGCCTGGAGCAGTCACTTGCGTGCTATGCAAATGTTCGGATATTAGCCTTGACTGCTCGAGCTCTCAGATAGCTTGCATGGGGCGAACACGTTCCGTATTCTCAATTAATCTGTTAGCTTGTGGACGAGGCGAAAGGTTGGTCAGCCATAATGATGGAAAAAGCAAAGTACAGTGAGACAGTAATCTTGAGAATCATGCGAACACGAGGAGAGCGTTATTAATTTAAACCCACAGGAGTGTCGTCTTTCCGGAGGTCTGCGCGTAATTTTTGTACTTTAACGACAGCTCACGTAACCCTTTCTGTTGAGCTTCCACAGTTTGTCCATGAGAATAAATACGGTTGAACTTTAGCTGTCAACTGGGGAAAAGTCTTCAAGGAAACAGCGCATACTCTCCCCAACAAAAATTCAACGTTACAGACAGAACTTTCACGGAACAGTTTCGAGTCCACCATGGTGGCAATTATCTCTTTATATCATGTACCTGACCAACGGCTTTCTTTCTTTCAATCAATTTTTTTGAGCATCAATCGCGTATTATTAGGTATTCTTTTTTTTTTCACATAGACTTGCCGAGAGTCAAGAGATATAAATTTTGTTGTTTTTTTTTCTTTTTTTCGTACAGATGGGAATGGACGGGTACTTTTTTGGACGACTCGATTACCAAGATTTCAGAGCACGCAAGAAAGATCACCGACTAGAATTTGTTTGGAGTGCCAGCGAGAACCTAGGTAAGCCCTTCGGTAGTCGTGAACTATGCAAAAAAACAATATATAAACGTGATAGACATTAAAAAGCTCGCTTTGCAGAGTTTCAGGCGTCTCTGGTTGAGAGCAAAAAGTGAGAAATATGAAAATGAAATAAACAATAAAAATGTTTAATTCCAATGAGAATTTTACCCAGGCGTTCCGCGAGGCAAGCAGGTGTTCTATACCACAGAGCTGTGTCATTGCTTGATACTCCTTCCGAGGGGGGGGGGGGGACAAAAAAAGTTCGAGTAGAAAGAGGAGCCTCCTTACCTCCTTAACATATGTCGTTCTGCGTGGCAGAATTGTAGATAAGTCTAGGCGTCAAAAAATGCGAATTGAGCAAAACATGCGAAATGAAACATGCAAAACGTGAGAAACGATCAACTGCATGCGGGTTCGCGTGTTGCCTTGCTGACGTGTAGTGGGCCCTTCGCTGATTCGCAGAAAGAATAATTATGTCGTACAGGGTACATCACTACTGTAACTGCGATACACAATCTTGGATAGTTTGAAACTACCAAAGTTACGCGCACAGACGTTCGTTTCCTTGTGACATGCCATTGAGGCATGCACCGAGAAAACTGTCGCAGATCAGCCGCAGCTGTGAATCACGAGAACTTGCCTTCCACGCCGCTTCATTGATTGTGTTTTGGAGCATCTTATCCGCAAAAAAACACAATTAGCTCTCTCGGGAGTTAGAATAAGCCATGAAATTGCGTTTTTGTTAGTAATCCGTGGAGGCGTATCAAGCGCGTTTACCTAAAAGCACGTTAACATTTTGCATTACTATATGCGAAACATTATTTACGGTTGCCATTGTTGATATAGCTGTAAAAGTCTTAGGCACGTCAAAACGATATCGTTATACTCGCGTGAACTAAAGGTGTCTCTCGGTCATCGAGCCAACGATCGACCATGTGTTTCTTTTTGTGGGGTAACGGTTCCTTAAAGTAGCAGCGAACGAAAAAAATGCCTTAGACTGTGCTTTTTATGATTATATGCGGCTGCGATGACACATTTGACACAAGTGCGTCCGGCAGAGATGTTGGGGCTGTGGTGCGCTTCACGGGGTTTTCACGTCTGTGCGAATCCACAAAAAACATCAATCGGGAAACTTGCCGAGTCAGTCCGTAGGCATTTCGCGGCGTCGGCTTGAGCGTACGAATTGAGCCGCGGACTTTACAGGTACGTAACAGCATTGTCCACAGCATGTAAGCATTATTGCAAGCGTATTGCGGATCAAAGTTTCGCCGAGATCGCACTTGTGGTTCGCATAGATAACGTCTCCGGCACATTTGTTATATGCGTGCATTTACCGTAACGATTCGTGGCTATGTAGTTTTACACCGTGCATTTACACATTGAACTCTAGAACCTCTTGCTGAACTAGGCCTGTCCTGGCATTAGTACAAATCAAACTGTGCATGTGTGACGTAGGCTGCAGCAACGGAGATGACATTTCGCAAATGAGCTACAATTCCGCCGTTAAAATACCTCACATGTTTTGATAAGGTTCTCGGAGCTACTTCTGCTAATTCCGGCGTATTTCAGTGGTAATTTAAGTCTGTTGATCAGTTTTCGCTGCTCCCTTGGAGGGCATGGATGTAGACCACCCCGGGCGCCTGCCGGCACCAGCGGCATCAGTGGCGGCCGCCTCCAGGAAGCGGATGGGACAAGCGAGTGACAGCGACAGTGAAGATACTCATGCTTACTATCTCAGCAGTGAGGACTTTTCAGATGACGGTTTCCAACCTGTGCTGAGCCGCAAAGCGAAGAGGAGGAACATGAGGACATCCTCATCCTCAACTATTCAAACTGTAAGTGAAGCGCCAAAATAGAACACCTATACCATCCTGTTTCTGCCTGCACTTCCTACCGTCAGCATGAAACGCCTTAACAGACAGTCTGTGTCGAGGTCTCTGGGAACGCTCGTGCCAAATTTGATCACGGACATAAGAGTGAACGCCAGAAAGATTATACTGGCTGTTGACGTTTTGCACGTAAGTGCGTTGGGCGTTCTGCGCAGTGTAACTGACTTGAACGGCGACCAGGTGCGCTCTCATGTTCTCTTGGGATGTGATGTAGTAACCGGCGTGATCTACGACATAGATGTGGCTATTTCCAATAATGACTTACAATTTCTTGTCAAGTCAACAACTGATACTCCTATTTTTGATGTCACCCGGCTAGGCAAGTCTCGCTGTGTGAAGATTGCGTTTAAGAGCACATCACTCCCCTCTCATGTGAAGGTGGGGTACTTCAGACATGCTGTGCGGCCTTTCATTCCAAAGCCTCTCCAATGCCGTAAATGCATGAAACTTGGACATGTGAGCAGCGTCTGCGAGAATTCGGTGGTATGCCACCGCTGCGCCGAGCCCCATGAAGCGGATAAGTGCGTCGCAACTGTCAAGAAATGCTCTAATTGCAATGGATCCCATGAAGCCACATCGAAGGACTGCCCGCGGATTCAGAAGGAAATTGCCATCTTGAAGGAGATGGTGCGCGATCACTCATCTCATCGAGAAGCCGCAGCTAAAGTCAGAAGGCGTCGTTCACGTCGACGTCGGTCTTCAAGGACGCCCGCTACCTCCTCGACACGTTTTCCAGATCCCTCATCAGTACCACCTCCTTTGCCTCCCAGACCACATGCTGTGGGAAAGGCTGTAAAGGACAAAGCCAGTGAGCATACCCTAACTGCGACAGAGTGGCCTGCACTTCAAAGGGAAGCAGCATCAAGCGAACCGAAGGAGTTTCATGACGGCCAGTCCGCGATCCCGGTTCGAGATCTTTCCAACCAAGGCAGCAAGCGACTGCAATCGTGCAATCATTAATTGCCACGATTCGCACGCTACTCAGCAGCATACAATCTCCGTCTGCTAAGAATGCACTGCAAATACAGGATTCACTGAATCCAGTTCTTGCTAACGTCGTATAAGCACAATGGCTCAACAAAATCTCATCTTCCGCACTGAAGTTAAAAGTGCGTCGATTTTTCAGTGGAATGCCAGAGGCATGAAGTCCCGTATCTCGGACTTTCGCCAATTTGTTCGGGCCAATCAATTCCCTATACTTGTCATATGTGAACCAAACGTATCAGCGCCTTATAGATTGTCCGGTTATGAAGCTTTTTGTTCAGCCGCTTGCGAAGAACGAAGCAAAGTAATTGTTTACATTCGCACAGACTTGACTTATCTTTCGCACCCAATAAGTTCAAATGACGACAATCAGTACGTGTGTCTTCGTGTAAAGAAGAATGCAGTTTCGTTCACGCTTATTGGTGGATATATATCTCCGTCATCGCGATTTGACTGCGACAGAATAAAATACATACTAATGAGGACCGATGGGTCTTGGATCATCGCCGGTGACTTCAACGCCCATCACATGCTTTGGGGGAGCACTAGGATGAATGCCAGGGGCCGGAACATTGTTACATTCGCTTCCGACTACGACCTTTCCATCATAAACGATGGTACCCCAACATATCTGCGGGGTCTCACGTATGGCAGTTGCCTTGACCTGACACTGATGTCACGGTGCTTCTCTCACAAAGTTAAATGGTTTTGCGATATTGAGACTCATGGGAGTGATCACATACCCACCTACGTGACGATCGATGGCATCATAAAAATTTTCTCTTCCGGTGTTGTAATTGGCACTGACTGGTCGATGTTTACATCGTGTGTTGAGGACGCTTGCCAAGAAGGCCTCGCCTGCAGCCTGGAAAATACCACAGCGGAAGCTATGCAAGCGTCCAAATGTAAATTACCATTTTCGTCTAAAATAACACAGTTTGACATCGAACTGGAAAGATTACGAGCTATACGAAGGCGTGCTGAACGACGATACAGACACACAAGATCAATTTACGATCTGAGGGAAGCAAGACGGCTCCGGAAAAAGATTCAACGACGCATTTACAAGCTGGAGAGCGAACGCTGGAAAGCATTCTGCGAATCTCTAGACCCTCATAAACCACTGTCATATATCTGGAGAACAGTTCATGGTCTTCGCTCCTCTCCACAACAACGGCACCCTTTTAAAGCTTTGGCACTCCATAATTAAAAAACAGAACTCGAGGTGGCTGAAGAATTTTGCACGAGAGTTGCCGGGAATATTATGAACGAGAGCATCGACGCCGTGATTGTTCCTGAGACGCGATTACCAGAAATGAATATTCCATTCACCATGGAAGAACTGGAAGGTGCATTAGTCGCTTTTAAGCGCATGTCATCGCCAGGTCCGGACGGTATTACTTATAGTGCGTTGGGACACCTTGGACAAAAAGCCAGAAAAGAACTTTTAACATGCTTCAACAACTCCTGGCTCAGTGGCAGTGTTCCCCGAGAATGGAAAATAAGTCAATTAATACCACTTTTGAAATCGGGAAAATCACCATTGGACTTGAAAGCGTATCGCCCTATTTCTCTCGCAAGCTGCCTCGGAAAAGTGATGGAAATAATGGTTCTATTTCGTCTCGAGTGGTACTTGGAACGATACACCAAATACCCTTCTTGCATGGCAGGCTTTCGTCGGGGCCGCTCCTTCATCGACTGTGTCCTGCACTTATCGACATTTGTTCAGCAAGAAAAAAGTCGCAAGTGCATATCAGTGGCACTCTTTCTTGATGTGATGGGTGCATATGATAATGTAGCTCACGATGCAATCCTCACTTCTCTCGCAGCAATGGGCATTGGTAGACAAATGTTTCAATGGATAAAAGATTAAATAACTGGCAGGGGTTTCTTTGTGCAAACATACGAGGGTACAACTGCTGAACATGACACCTACTGCGGAGTACCTCAGGGAGGTGTTTTAAGCCCCACATTGTTCAATGTTGCCCTACTTGGTCTGGTGAAGGTTCTGCCAAAGTCGGTGTGCCTATCCATATACGCCGATGATATTTGCCTCTGGAGTGCTGCAGTTGCTCGCCCTCAGGTGCGTGAACGAATACAGCGGGCAGCAAACCTCACAACAGCCTA